GTCTCTGCAGCACCCGGTTCCTGAAGCCGGAAAGTGCTGTCAAGTTTGGGGTCGCCTATAGGGGCCACCTCTTCCCCAATCATCTGAAGTGGTCTCTCTTTACTATGCAAAGGTGGAAAAGATGGTCATTAGAAAGATACAGGCCTTGGGTCAGGGTTCTTGGCCCCAGGGTGGAATTGAAGCCCCTGGTTTACAAGGATGAAACAATGAAGGGTCTTTAGTCTGGCAGGCTAACCTTTGGTTACCTTTATGATGATACTATCCAAGGCACTGGGTCACTTTGGGGTACCTGACAAGACACATGTTTTGCCTCAGATTTCCAACTCAGTGCTTCTTCCTGAATTGTTTGCAAAGATCCCCTTAACGGGGAGAAACTGAATCCAGCTCGCTGGGGATCAAGTCAAGAGTCTGGGCCAATGAGTAGGGGGTGAACAAACTAATTGTTGAGGGAAACAATTTTTTAACCTGATGCATGAGGAGGGCCCAGACTGGGAAACCTCGGAGGTTTTCTATGCGCTGGGGACCCTTCTTGCACTCCATCTTTCTGCCTCTGCAGCCCATCAGAGGTTTACTCAGACATCCATGGTTGTCTTGCCAAGTCAAGGGAAGCCTTGGGAACCTAGAGCCCTTCGTTTTGCAACAGAGCCAGATGATCAAGACTGCTGTCTTACCGAGAAGTTAAAATTTTTATTTTGAAAGTCATGGACTGAACTTAAAAAGAAAACAAACCTTTACTTTTTGTTCTGGGAGATTTCAAACTGCACAGATGTAAGAAAAGAATACAGAAAGCCTTTATGGGGCCCATCATTGCCTTTCAAAATTATTGACTACCTGGCCAGGTGTGTTTTATTTATACTTGTCCCCTTTCCCAGTGCCCTCACCATGAAGCAAATCTCAGACAACACTTCATTTTATTCACACTTAGCAGAAGGAAGGACGCAGTTAACCAATACTAAGATTGTGTGGAGAAAGACTCCAGAAATGACCCAGATAGACTCATATTGATCATGATGAGTCAACTTCAATATCAGGAGATCGTTGCAGTTGCTTCATGCCCATCAACAGAAGTTCATAATGTTTCCAAAACAACCCAAAAGATTGGTCACTGTTGATGACAGAGAGAAAACCAATTCATATTGCAAAAACACTTTAGGAGGAAGAAAACAAACATGCATTTATTCTACCTTTCTATACAAATGGAACCCAAGGCTACCCCATTCAGCTTTCCCTGCCCTTGTTTTTTACTTTATTGACTGAGCAATCTCCATCCTCCCCTGGCAGCAGACACTAAGAAGAAGAAAGTGGGAATAGTCTAAACAGGCTAGCTGTGTAGCAGTTTCCTCTGACATTCAAACCTTTCATCTTAGTTGAAAATTTAAAATATAGGATATAAAAAGGAGGCAAAAAAACAGGATAGTTTAAGACAGGAAGTTTACAGGAAAGTGAAACAACTGGTGTTATAAGGGGAAGTGAAACACTCCATCCTGCAGGGAAGCAACTAAGGGCCTTAAGGCCAGAAATAAACAACCTAAGATAACTTCAGGAAGTCCCTGAAACAGACCAAATTCACTATCCTCCCCCAAAGAGTACATAAGCAGTAAAGACTACTGAGTACTGAGCATCATTCTCAGACCAACTAAAGGAAGACTCACAGATAAGACAAGGTCCAACCAAGTCTCCCAGACAAGCTTTGCTGCCTAGAAAGAGGCCTACACCAGACCAACCACCTGGAAAAAGCAGAGATCTGCTGAAGTGCCATGAAGAAACAAAGACCAGCCAAGCTGCCCAAAATAAGTTCGGACCAAATGAGTGACACACATCCTCCAATATGTTGAGCTGTAGAGTATGGTCCAGGCTTCTAGCTTTTGTGAACTGTCACTCTGGTAGTGTGGGATTTTGGGGCTGTAGCTGTGTTTAAGTTATTTCTAATCCTGCAATTAACCCCTCATCCATATTCCTGTAAGTATCACCGATAAGCCTTATTGGTTCACCAAGTTGGACTTTAGTTGTTGTGGTGATTTGAAAGAAAATGGTCCCCAGAGAGAGTGACACCTTTAGGAGGTATAGCGTTGTTGAAGTAGGTGTGGCTTTGTGAAGGAAGTATGTCACTGTGGGGGTAGGCTTTGATGTTTCTTTTGCTCAAGCTTCACTCAGTGTGACATGACAGTCTACTTCCTGTTGCCTGCATATCAACATATAGCAGCTCCTTCTCCAGCACCATATCTGTCTGCCTACCATCATTCTCTCCAACATGATGATAATGGACTAAACCTTTGAAACTGTAACCTGCCAC